AAAGTGACCTTGAAATGACCTTCAAGAGTTGAAAAGAAAGTCGTTTCTTTTTCGGATAAACGATAACTAACATTACCACTCTTACGTAAAACAGTTATATAATTGCAAAAAAAAACATGTGCTTACTTTCAACGAAGTTAATTGCAAAAATTCAAATTTAGTAATTTCATTGGAGGATTCAGATTTTTCAAATGCTATTAAAAATAGTTACACTGTAAAACATTTTACAGTGTAAAAATACCCTACAACTTACTGATACAACCTTAAGATTCGTAAAATAAACAAAACAAGATTACTTTTTAAAGCACACGTCGCTCGAAGTAGATCTTTTGCAGAAAATGGGTATCCAATTTGTTGACACAATTCAAACACACAGTAGATAGGTAGTAAATTCTGATTTTCTTGGCACACGCTTCCTAGAATACATTTTATTTTAATTAAAAGATTTCAATTAAAATGTTGAAAAGAGATCCAACATTTTAAAAATTTCACAAATATCGGAATAAATACAATAAAACAATATACAACTGAGATTCTTGTAAGGAAAATCGTTTAATCCGAAAATTTTTATTTTCAGGAGGAAGAGATTTTTATTTTAGATAAAATTGTCTCCTCTTCAATACGTATGTATTTACGACAGTAAATGGATAACGATCGGGACATTTTTCGTATTATTGTCACATACGTATAAATTTTCACCAATTATTTTTTACAACGATATTAACTTCAAATTATTATTTTTTACGATATAACTTTAAATTGTTACGTTTTTTTACAGTGATATAACTTTAAACTGCTTACGTACCGACATGATTTCCAGCCTGAGGGTATATATTATTTTCTAACAACTTATGCAGACCACCAGCGAGTTTTCCATTCATTTCTACAGTTTCTACGTCGTCATATTTCGTATACAAATGCCACGAAATTTCTAGCAACGCATGCAAGAATTGCCAAATTTCAATCTTCTCGAAAGGATGATGAGGATCTTTCATTAAGGTGGTTTCATTTTTCGCTAAAATTATTTCAATCAAACATATTTCCACTAATAAGTATTATTTTAAAATTCTTTTCAAATTTCGTGGAAATTTTTAGTATACTCATACAGCACGATGAATAATTCACCTATGTAATCGTCGATTTCAATGAGACTGAGGCCCTTTCTATGAATACCACAATCTCTCCACATTTGCCATAAACACAGTCTAGTCATTACGAGATTACATTGATACGCTGACTTAGCGAACAATTTAGCATAATCATTGTAAATTTCACGTAAACGAAACATATGCAATGTTAAGCAATTGTACGTCCAACGTTCTTCATATCTCCAAACAGACTCTCCCGTATCTTCCTTGTACAATTTCGAATCGATCTCCGTTTGTGTACGTTCTTCTTGCTCACTTGCAACCGCAACTGTAGAACATTTTATGCAAAAGTTTTTACTACACTATAATCTATATAAAGACGATAAATGTTAGCAGGAAACAAGATATATATTAGGTCATCTCATAAGTTCGTGTCGAATTTTATAATTTAGGTCAATATTTCTAAGGAACTCTTAATTTTGATTAAAAACAAAAAACGTAAGCGCCTTCTCATTGTACAACTTGTAGGCGAGTCCGGGATGGAGAGAGGTTTGGCGGAATCAGCTGGTAAAGGCGAGAGACGAGACAGTTTTAATTCTAATAAATAACTAATAATTTATTCTACACGGACATGGCGAGTCCGGGATGGAGAGAGGTTTGGCGGAATCAGCTGGTAAAGGCGAGAGATGAGACAGTTTTAATTCTAATAAATAACTAATAATTTATTCTACACGGACACGAGTCCTATTCTCAATAACGCTCCTTCAATATACTTTTCTCACGCAAAGTTCGTTTTCCACACACACCTTTTTCCACACGCTATTCGTTTTTAAACTGTCCCTTGACGAGGGCGTTTCTTCTCTCCGCCAATTAGGGCTGTTTTCGAACGTACCCCTACGACGTTCCCCTTCTACCGCGATTTTGGCGGAAAAACCGTTTCGCCCGGGAACGTCGCTTTCCGTCCTTTACTTCTGGTGACCAGATTTATGGCACGTCTTACCCACGGTCACATCGGCACCATAAACCTGGCCACCGTCCCGATCGGCGCGGCTGACGACCACGTGGGCCGCCCCAAACCCTAAATTTTTGCCTACAAACTTTATTTTTTTTTTTGTAGGATCATTATGTCGATTTTCATTAAAATATTTCTCGCTTTTGGCACGAACTTATGTGACGACTTAATATTAATAAACAACCGGTTGAAATTGTCTGCATCAAACAGGAACAAGATTCGTTTTCACAGTCGTGACATTTTCCAGATGGAACCGCGGGTATTAAAGGTGGCTCCAGACTTTTTGGATCCAATAAACGAGTTATGTAATAAGACAAATCTGGAAACTGTTCTGGCTTTAAGATAGAAGTTACTGCAGTTTCCGTTAATTGATTAGGTTTGTCAACAAATCTGCAAAGGATTAAACGAATGTTTTCTTTATTTTCTTTAATTCTGAATTGATAAAAATTCGAATTCTTACGTATGTTTTATTTCTTTAACCGCGCGCACGCAGTTCTCTTCATCCTCCATTTCCGTTTCACATTCTAAAAGATCGCTTGCAACGTTAGAGGTATACAAAACGTCATTTGAAAACATTAAATTAGACTTGGATCTTTCGCCATTATTTCCTGAACGAAGTAAAAATATTTGCAATTTTATATTGTACAATTTCAATAATTAAAAGTGTTAATATTACAAATACGAAGACAGATTGTCGTTTATAATGTTCTAAATTTGTTCTAAACAAAGGGGATACATTTGTATGCAATTTTATATTGATAGTTCATTGAATGGAGATTAATAAATACATTAGTGTCAGCGGTATGTAATACTTTCATTGAAAATTTACGGTGGCAATTTTAAAAAGTGTTCACGTTACCAATTACAGTTCCATAACCGTGCTTTTTGTTGTTCTTCCAATATCCAGAAAATTTCGCTCCGCCTACGGAGTTCAATTTTATCTCTCCTGCGACAGCAATCTCATTAACACTTTTATCACAATTTTTTATGTCATAAAAATATTAATTCACCTTTGCCATTACGCATTCCGTAACGCCAATAGCCTGCATAGGAAGCTTCTTGTGGCCAAGTAAAAGTTTTATTAAAAAATCCGTTCCACACATACTCCCCGTAACTGTAAATAATTTTATATTCTCATATTTTTCATATTTCCATATTTTTATATTCTCATATTTTTATATTCTCATATTTTCACATTTTTATGTTTTTATATTTTCATATTTTATATTTATTTGAATCCATTGTTATAAATTTAGAGACCAACAAACCCATTTATTGCACCGCACGTCCATTCCCCGCGATAAACATTTCCGTTAGTCCAAGCCATGGTTCCGATGCCATCACGAATACCATTCTTCCATTGACCAACATAGCGATCACCGTTTGGATAAATTCGTAATCCAACTCCGTTCATTATGTCCATTACCCAATCACCGTCGTATGATCCATTATCACCGTAACGACAATAACTTTTGCAATAGATTCATTATTGTTTGCAGCAAAGTAGAACGAACGGCAATTATTTACGTGAAATACAGTAACACAGTGCATATATGATAATACGTTAAAAAGTATTCAGTGAACAGAAATTATTGCCAATCAAACTTTTTAATATCGTTTGTATTTTTTATTTTTACAATTCCTATTAATTGTAATTGTTTATCATCATGCTAAAGTCACAGATGGTTTTCGTTAGTGTGTAAAATTACAAATAATATTAATCAAGTGAAAATTCATTCTAGTTCACGTTACGTATAATTTAGTCTGTGATAATTACCCCATTCCGTGTCTTTGACCCATATGCCATTGACCACAGTACAGATAACGATTTTCTCCATCCACCATAGTTCCTCTACCGTGCCTATAGCCATTCAAAAAATCTCCCTCGTACCAACAAACACTATTCCATTCCAACAAACCTCTTCCATGCATACAATTCTGTTGAAATTCTCCCTGCGAATTATTTTAGCGCCTACTCGTGTGAAAATTAACTGACCGCTAATTACACTCCTGTCGTTGCAAAAAAATTGCAACACTTAGAAATTTGGGGTTGCACAAATCTGGAAATCACATATATTTTTGGGCTACTCTGAGAAAAGTGACCTTTTTTTAACCAAACTTCAATAATTTTTCCCTTTCAAACAATATATGTGAATTTCAGATTAGTGAGGTTTCATTTTTAGGGTATTGCAATTTTTTTGGCGAGCAGTGTATTTTTACTCTTAAGTTCGCTGCAACATGATTTGTACAAAATATATATGCTTCGTGCAAAAAAATGTAGGTTTTTGTAATACTCAGAGAAAAGACCTTGGAAAAGAATTTCTCTTCCACCATTTTCGAAACTGTTCAAATTATGTTTCAGAAATATTTTTCAGTATTATTAGAAACAAAGCAGATATTCTATTTGCACCGTCTGATATTATTTTACTGGTCGCTTATGTTAATTTGATGAACAGATAAATTAATTAAAAAATGTTACTTTATATTGGGCGCCATTGGACCATCTGTACACGCCCTCACCTTCCATCATTTTTCTACTAATACGACCTGTATACGTATTATTACTAATGAACTTTATGTTTGCAAATTCATCTGGCAATGATAATTTCCAGGGGAAATCGGAACGTGATCTAGATGCATCATTATTATATTCTTCAAAAGTATTATCGTTTACTTTGGATTCATTTGCATTTTCATAACCTTTACTCTCATTGTCCTCAAATATGTCTTTACAATTGTCTTCAACATTCTTTTCGTACGTTTTCCTTATATACTTTCCATCCCACCTATTTAAATAAGACTTATTTTTCGTTAATATAAAGAGTTTATAAAGAAGAGTGGGAGTGAGACGATTGGTAAAGAATTAAATGGCTGACTAGGAGAATCTTACATAAATGTCGAAGTTTATTTAAAAATTTAGCGAAAGAAATATAATTACTCTTTTACAAAATATTTTAGGATATCATTGTAAAGTAAATGAATGAATTCCTCCTTGGCATTATATTTACGACGTTTTTCAGCCAAAATATCTTCAAGTGGCAACTCCTGTGTTGTTTCACTTTCCTCTTCGACATCTTCAATTTCCTCTTCCTCTTCGTCAAACGATGTCGAAGGAATAACCTTTCTACATTTTTCTTTAATAACTTCTTTTAACGCAGAATTCATTTTTCTCTATTTTTTTTTTTTTTTCAAGTAAACTTAAAACTTATTTTTATTCAATTTATTTACAGCTAACTGAATTCGTTAATAAATATCAATATGTTAAGATTATAAGTATTATTGTGAGACTCTATATTTATATAGAGATATAAAGATACCAGAAATTCAGAAACATTTTATGTGACACTTTCGATGATATTTGACGCTATATTCAGAAATATTTTTATTCACTTCTTATGTTATTCCGTAATACGAAATATTAATAAAAGTAAACGATATTTTCGAATTAAAATTGAAAATAGACAATATGCCAGCTAAAGAAAAAATGAACGTAAGATTAATTATTTTTTTATCGAAAATATTGTAAAATTTTTATAAATTATGAAATTTTAATATATTAATATTTTCTGTGTATACTATTATGGAGAGAATCCTGATTTAAAAAGTTGTAACTATGAAAGAGAAATATTATTTAAATTAAATTCATTTTATGAAACAATTATTCAGACAAAACCTTTCCGAATTAGTATTCAGTATTTATTATTATGCAAAAAGTATTTTAAACAATGATTATATTCTAGGCTGTCTTGCCAATTTGTGAAGATGAAGTTAAAGATTTGGAACTACTAGTCTTCCATACGCCTGTCAAATATAATAGCAAAGTAAAAGTCCATGATTGGTAAGAGTGCAAATGTATAGATAAAAATATTTTTTCATTTTTACTTAATCGTATCCACTTAACTATGTATTAGATATTTCATTATACTTTTATTTTTTACTTTTACTTATTACATTCAACTATGCATTATACAGGGTATTTGGCCACTCCTGGAAAAAAATTTCAGGGGTGATTCTAGAAGCCAAAATAAGACAAAAATGAAGAAAAAAAAAATTGCGTTCGAGGCTTCGTTTTTTAGTTATTAATGTAGAGAAGCGGTAGAGGATGAAACCACGTGACCGGCCCCATACATTTGGCCCCGGCTTAGTTTGACCTGATAAAAAAATATTGAAAAGTAAAGGAGTAAGGTACTTCCCCCTCCTCCGCCGCTTCGTTATACGTAGCAACGCACCTTCGTTACTGCCATTAATATAGATTCTAAAATTATTGAATCAATCATGTATATACATAGTTCTGTCTGAGAAAGAAGCAAACTGAAGTATTACAAATGTTAAATAATTTTATAATCAAAGACAGTGAATCAGTAAGCTAAGAAAATGTACGTACATAATAATACTAAAAGCTTCAGTTTTGACTTTTAGTGCAATAATTTGTTATTGTAAATATCCTTATTTGTATAGAAAAATTTATTGTAAAATAGAAAAATTTTTAATAACATGATACATTTCTGAAACTGGTTTTTCATTTTTTAAAAACAGAAAATTTTTTCTTCAGAAGTCATCGTATCAAAGACTGGGTCCAGAAGATGCCTGTACAGGAATTTCTGAAACACAAACTATGCTATCTCAAATACAATTAAAAGATTTGTACAAACCGATATATCCACAACGTACTTTACTTAATATGAAGTCTTCTGCATTGGCAGGGTATGCATTCATTACATTATATTTTATTAAACTAATCTATTTACATAATCAGGGCTATGTATTTCGAGATAAATATATTCAAAAATTTTGCGATTGGTGTGCCTTTTTATCTCTATTGAGGAAATTCAGAAAAATCACACCTTTGAAAGAGAAGGCAGTATGTACCAAGTCCTCCAAAATGATTTAGAGCCCTTTACGATTAACTTGTCAGAATCGTAAATTTATTTGAGTGGCTATTGGCAATCTACAAGGAAAGTTTCTGTGATTCAAATTGACAACTGTGGTTCCATCTACCAAACTTTCCCTGTAGTATGTCTGTTTTGTGTCTCTCTTAGGATATATCTACTTTGTAGAACCGATATAATAAATCATATAAACCGATATATGCATAATAATCAATGAGAGTAACTGTTCTTCACAACTCTTTTATAAATCGAAATCGTTACAGTAACTATTTTCAATTAAATTAGTTTTGAATTTGTAACGTATCGCAGGACAGAAGAAGAGAAAGAGTCGTCGTTAATGGATATAATGTACGATTCTGAAGAAGCTCGTTGCATGGATTATAGGACGACAACGGAAATTGACTATAGGTCGCATTATCCTGTAAAGGCAAAATTATTACCACCGCCACCGCCACCAGAACCATGGCTTTTAAATCGACGAACCATTGGTTACAGTCTTGAAGAATTGGAAAAACGAGATGGAATGCATACGTTTTTAGATGACAATATGGAGCTTCATCGAAACATAGCTGATTTAAAGTCAAGAAGAAACAAAGTACATGAATTTTCGATTCAAGACAGTCATTCTCTACAATCCGCTGATTCTTCTAACATAAAAGAGTGTACAATTCAAAATTAAAATGTGTAAATAATTGGCAGATTATATTTTGTGAAACATTGTATAGAGTTTCCCGGGTTAGTGTAACAGCATTTAAGATAGAGAAGTTACAAAACTTATGATTTTTTACATGATCGGTATTTTAGAACATGAAACACAAGTTTCTAAGTACATATAAGGTGCTAGATCTATTCTAAATCTCGTCTGTGCTATCACCATAGACGACGTGTATCTAAGTATACAAACAGTGTCCATACAAACGTCACTTCGATGGGGGAATAAACTTCGCCATCTAATGCAATTTCTTTTAAGTTATTTATTATGCCTCACTTGCTTTTTTATTTAAAGAACAATTAAATTAAAAAATCATTCAGTTATATGCGCACTAATAGTACTAAAGAAAATTCATAAGGTCGCTATATACAAGAATACAAATTTCATTATGTAGTTAATGCTCTTGGATATGATGTAATAAAGAATCTTGCACAAAACGTTTTCGCGAGAAGCTGCCATTGGCTGACTCTTCTATTCCCTCGAACGATTGGTTGCCGTATTTACTAACCTCTGATTGGTTATATTCAGACAAATTTAAGTTCAAATAAACGTAGCGGTTGTTGTTTAACCGCGGTTCGACCGTTGTGGAGTAGAACGTAGCGTCGTTCCTGACTATTTCTGCGAGAATTATAATTAATTCGATTTTATGTTGCAAACTTAATGAAAAATATGCCTCCGCGTGTTAAATAAGTTTACTGTTCTGAGAATATTAGGTAATTTAGCGCTAAATAATTAATTTATAGACGTGTGCCTGCGAGGAACTAGATTGTATTATTTTGGGAAACGAGGTTTGTTTTATCATATTGTTGTTACAGTCGTTCGTATATATACTTTTCGTCACGAACAATGTATCTTAGAGTTTGTATAATCAAATTTTAAGTGATTAAACAGGTATTTATTAAAAGAAATCGTAGAATTTATTTGACGATCGTTCTCAGAGTACTTTAAGGTACAGTGTGATTTAAAGAAGCATGTACGGTGAAGAGGAATAGATTCGTTTTATAATAATTAAGTAATGTGTTGAAAGTGTTGGTAATGCATGTGTGGGCTCTATTGAACTTTTATAGCATTCAGTTTACTTTCATTATATTTTTTATTAATGAAAATGATTATGCTTAGATGGAGTCACGCTTACCAAAGCCAAAAGTCAATTTAACAAAAATAATTAGCACAATGAATAACCAAAAAGCAGCAGAAGATCAAAATAATATCCCTTATGCAAGTTCTAGTGGTGCTTCTAGAGTGTTGAAAAAAGCAAAGAGTACAATGAACATTAATGTGAAAGGTATAAATGAGAGTAAAACTCTGCTTAAACAAAATATTAGAAGATCAAAAAGCACATTATCCACTGCTACTAAGATTTTGAAAAGACCAGCTGCTGCACCCATAATGCATGGAGAAGCTAAAAAACCATTAATTAGGCCTTCTGCTAAACCAGTTGCTCAACGAACTGGCACTATATTAACAACTAAATCCAGTCAAAATACCACAGGTAGAAAAGTGCAAAATGATAATGCACCAAAACCTTCTAAGTGGGACATAAAGGGTCGATTAGCTCATACACATGATATGTTGTCTAATGTAAGACAACAACTTAAAGAATCTGTATCAAAGTGCAATGAATTACATGAACAAGTAAATACATTAAAGGCAAATGAAGCTATATATAAAACAAAAGCAGAAGAATATGAAACTAAGAATAAGGTATTGAATAGTGAACTAAAAGAAATGAAAGTAGAAATGAATAAGGCACAAGAACAAAGAGAGGATTTAGCTAAACGCCTAAAAGAATCAGAGGAATCCTTTCAGAATGCCACAAACATGTTGGAAACTTTTAAAGAGAAATGTAGTTCTCAAGAAATCATATTGCAAAGGCATGACTCTGTAATCAAAGATTTAGAAACAAGATTACAGAATCAAATAGAAATTAATGAAGAGTTAAATGCAACTAAAAATGCGTTACAATCTTTGGTTCATACAATGGATAAAGATCGTAGAGTTTTACATAATGCTATACAGGAATTGAAAGGAAATATCAGAGTTTTCTGTAGGGTGCGTCCTAGGACTCCAACTGAACTTGGCAAAGCGTATGTGTACCATATATATAAATGTTTAATTTTCAAGTATAAAACAATTTTCTAAAAAAACCATTTATATTGTCCACAGGATGTGTGCCATGAACTTTGTAGATGAGTGTACTATTGAAGTAAGAAAATCTGATGGATCTGATGTAGTTAGCTGTAGTGGAAAGTGGAGAGGAATTCGACAGGAATTTTCTTTCGATAAAGTTTTCCCGCCAACGGCTAAACAAGAAACTATTTTCGAAGAATTAGCCATGTTAGTTCAATCTGCCTTAGAAGGATATAATGTTTGTGTATTTGCATATGGGCAGACTGGTTCTGGTAAAACGTACACTATGGAAGGTTTACCCGGCATTGAAACGGAAGGCATGATATCTAGAACGGTATGGTGTATCCATTTAGTATAAATTATTTATCAGTTGCAATACGAAACAATATATTTTTCATATTCTTGTAGGTACGGCATATATTTCAAGAAATGAAACAGTTCCAATTGCTTGGCTGGGAATACAGAATAGAAGCCAGTTTCCTTGAAATTTACAACGAGCATATTGTCGATTTACTCGATTCACAATCAAAAATGCATGAAATCCGAATGACTGATAGTAAAGGGCACGATTTATACGTCAGTAATCTCAAGATAGAAGAAATACATAGCCCTGAAGAATTACACGAGTGCCTTATAACAGCGCAACGTAATAGAGCAGTTGCTGCTACTCAGTCAAACGAACGGTATATCTGCATGTTTTATTTTACAAGTACAAATGTGTAATAGATTCATGAAATATAATTTTTCAGATCGTCAAGATCGCATTCGGTAGCTAGAATAAAACTTATTGGAACGCATCAAACGAAAGAGGAAGTTTCGATAGGAAATCTGAACTTAGTCGATTTAGCGGGTTCTGAACGATTGAAAGGCGAGGAATCGATTCGAACAGCAGAAACAAAAAATATTAATAAATCATTGGCAAATCTGGGTAACGTTATTCTTGCTCTTTTGAAAAAGCAAGAACATGTTCCATACAGAAACTCGAAGCTTACTCATTTATTGATGCCGTCTCTGGGTGGTAATTCAAAGACTCTTATGTTGCTAAATATATCGCCTCTGGACGAATGTTACAATGAAACATTGAACTCATTGAGATTTGCTAGCAACGTGAACAACTGTAAAACAGGCAATGCAAAGAGAACGCGAACAGTTTTACAAAACTCAATACAGTTTAATTAAATATCATTCTCGTTGCAGTTGAAGATTTAAATATATTTTCAAAGGACATGACTTGCACGCAGAGCATCAACAGTAATAACTGTATGATACCGAGCTGTGAAAGCCTCAAATCTTTGAACCAAAGATACATGTTTTAAATGTTAAAAATCCCGTTTTAATAAGACTGCAAAATAAAAATGTATTTTATAATTTCTGAATAATAAAAATAGTTTCTTAAGCTTAAAAATAGTTTTCTAGGAAATTTTCTAATGTGTGACTACAATGACTACAATTCTTATGTTTGTATATATCGTAATCGTTATATTCATTAACATGTATATAAATTGTATATAACTGTTATACTTCTTCACACATTGTATGTAATGTAATGTATTCAAAAAAACTGGCAACAAAAAGTATTTTTAACTGTGTGGATTGCAAATTGTTTAATAAATTCTGTATTTTTATGTATAGTAATGTCTTTTTCTTCTACAAGCTGCGCGATTCCCATTATCTTATATTCCTCTATCTTCGAAATATAGTTCTTACTTTTAGGATCGTTACCCGAGTAAGTCTAGCCTACTGCTCGAATATACTGCTGTACAGTAAAAAAAGGTAATTTTTGAATTTACACTCGTTTTTATCCTTTGTTCCGCGAAAATTGTTTCATAGATACAACTTAGTGCGCATTAAAACAATATCATTGATATGTATTCGAAATGTGTAAATGTATAAAATTATTATCCTATGCTGAGGAATATAAGATTAAATTAAAGAGTTTTGTATCGTGTAGCATATTCAAATTTTAAATAAAGACATTCATGTAAATAAGAATATTTTATTCAAAACGACTCTCATAAGATAACTATTTATAGGTCGATTTTATACGAATAATATATCTTGCAGACACTCCTGATATGCATGGATTAAAAAATTGAGGTTTCCTTAAATTTGCTAAGAATTTTTGAAATTCTGGCGAAGAGCTAACAATGCGTTTTTGTATATATTTTTTCGGCGGTCCATCATCACTTCTTTTATAATTGTTCGAAGATTTTAGATCATTCTTTATATATGCACAACTTTGATCTAGTAAATATTTGTGCATTAAATTATTTTTTAATTGTTGATTACTGAAGTACTGATAAAGTTCATAATTGTTAGATAGTAACAATGTATAACTGTTAAAGATAATTTCATTCTGTATAATATATATGTTTGTATTTAATTCATTAAAATTTTTGTTTTTTTCCAAAGTATACACATCTTTATCATCCCGATTTAATTTCGTTCGTAAATGCTCTTTACAGTTTTCAAATTTGACAGTTAATTTAGTATGCAAATTAGCATCATCGCAATTACGTATGTTTTTACCAGAGATACTATCTTTTTTAAGGTTTCTTCCAAGGAATATGAAATAAAGGACATGTGGAGAATATTTATATGCCCTGTGAAAATTCATCCAAATTAAAATATAATTGTCATTGAATGTTTAGAATAAAAAATATTTACTTACATAGTATTCCATATTTTTATCACTATTTTCACGTATTCTTGCAAACACATGAAAAATATTACAAGAGACATAGATATAAAGATATGCACACATTGGAACACATCTTTCAACATCAGTATTATGTTACATACACTATACTTTGTCGTTGTAATATGTAACATTTCTTCCATAATTTCTGCCTTTGTAGAAATATTGTATGGAATTTCAAAATTTGAATTTTGTAGATAAAATAATGTAGCTAAATGAAAACAGTTATGATAATTAAATAAATATTCCGTAAGCTCGTGTAATATTTACCTTCGTGCTTTAAAATGTTCGAGTGATACGTATTACTCGCACACAAAGCTATCCATAATCCGATTCCCCAGAAAAATAAAATATCCCACGAAATGTAACGTGATCTTTTTTGCTTAAACAACTTTAAATATCGATGAAACATTGCAAAAATTATGGTACTTAAATGTATCTACTTTTCTCGTCAGTAGATAACAGTCCACTACCATTATTTTACATTGTCTCCGTTACTTTTTTTCAAATTCTTTGCTAATTAAAGGATGTCGTAATATTTGTTCACATTAAATTTTGTAATCACAGACCAACGATAAAGGGAAAGGTTGCACAGATTAAAAAGAAGACAATCTCTAAGACAGATGCACAACAGTTTCATTCGTGTCTTTCAGTACATTACACATTAAATGTCAATATTTTTCGAATTCACGAACAAGACAAATTGATTTTATGACAAATATTTTTAGAATATCGAATAAAATTTGTAACGGGCCGCTCACAATGATATCTAAATTGCGAAAAATGGTAGAGCAATGTTCAATGGATCAAAATATAAATACAATATAGCGTATATTTTAATTAAATAAAGAAAAAAGAAAGGAAAAATGATATATGTACATATGTATTTACATTTCATCTCAAACAAAGTACAGAATATACCTATCGTCATAGACGAGGTACAAAATAGACCTAACACCTCATGGGCACCCGTTTACGGGTGACGGGCCCCCACGGAAACATAGTCGTCACCCAGATATGGGTGACGTGGCGATCGACGTGTTAAAATCAGTGTATTTTTCAAATATGTGCCATTCACAGACCATTTATGTTTTTGATTTGATTTTTATAGGTTGTGTTTAGTACCTGAATACCTTTCAAGCTGACACAGAATTTTAATACAATAGTAATAAATTTTCCTAATTTTTTATGTAAAATTTTTATCAAATTTAACGAGACTTTTAAAAAAAGTACCGAGTAATACTTCGGTGATTTTTTGTATATTAATTTTGAACATATAAATCTTCATATTAATGTCAAATTTAACTGCTCAAATTTGCTCAAAATGAAGAAAATTGTCAAAATCATTATTGACGCGTTCAGTATTTTAGCGTCCTATCCTACTATTTTATGTCAGCAAAACTTAAGTAAACGTAACACGCGATAGACTATTATCCAAAATGTATTATATTATAACTATAAGCGGCTGCTAAGTACTCCGGTGTCCGTCTCGCTCGACGGCTATATTAAGAGTGTCCTCTTTGCGTCGTATCCTGCGTTGCTCCGTAAAACCGTTGGAGCCCCCTCGTTCGACTTTCCGGGGAAAGGGCTTAGTTTATGGTACCCTCAGATACCCGCACGCTTTCTCTTCTTGGGTGACAAAGTTCAGGCCACCACTTCGCCGCCGAAATCTCGCATTCTTACATGTACGTGTTATTAAATTTTTTTATTACTTATATTGTTATTTAACTACCTGATGAAAATTACAAAACAAAAATAAAAGAGAAATTTTGAATGTATACAAAGTTATGATATTTGTCTCTCAAACCCCTGCATGCGAAACGGCCGCTACGATTTTGCCGATATTTCCGCGAAACTGATGAACAAATTTTTCAAACAAAAGTTAATCAGCATTCAGTTGACAATAAATCGTGTTAATGAAAATTTACAAAAAAGTTTTTATTCGATAAAAAATATAGATCGCTACAATTTTTTTAAATGAAACCATATATTTTTTTATGTGCCAATCAATGCATATTTGAATTCTCTTCAAAAAAGTATTAGAGGACTTAGGTCTAAAATTGATTAATTTAGAAGTTACGATTTTTGTCCCGAACACCCATATACTCGAAACACTGCGTCTCACCGAGATTCAAAGGGTATCTCCTAATTCTTACTCATTTGCTCAGGTTGCTCGAGCATCACGTGGTGACGTAGATAATTGGCGGAAAGTGCCGAACAGGCTTCGCACACGACAGAGCTACCGCTACACTTGTGTGAGAGCACAAGGACGGTATAGTGGGAGACGGCAGTAGGTCATAGTGGGGGTTACTGCTTTCGCCCACGGTCCACGATTCTGGCATCACTGCTCATGGGACTTTGTGTCCATGGAACAGGGGTCAAGAAGACTCTTACAATTTTCGTGTCACTCCCAACGTTACCGATTTAGCATAAAATAAGATTACTATATGTATTTAATTGTGACGTATAATTAATTTTTATTAATTTCGCATTGGATTAACAATTGGATGCAGTAAATTAGTTCGAAATTGTTGATAATTTTTATTTAACATTTGAAAATTAATGTTCCTTATGTGTAAACTAGAAATGGAACATTCAGGCTACCACAGGAATCAAGGAAAAGACTTCAGCATCAGGAAAAATGAAGAAATGCAATTATTTATTGTAAAATAACTGTACAAAATATATTTTACAAAAGGTTACAATGTACCAGTACTGTTTTACAGCATTTTACAGCCTATTCATTTCTCCCTTACGTACCATATTCACCACTTCCTGTTGCAAAACACTCATTCTTAAAATAATATTCCATTACAAAATGAAATAAACCAAGTCCGGATGTCGTTAAGAACGCGTAATAATCGAAAAATTATAAATAAATTGCTGGGTAAGTACTTATTTGTATTTTTGTAATTAGGTTCAGTTTAGTTCTAATTCCAACCACTGCTAATGTTGTAATCTTATTCTATGCTGATTCGGTAATGTTGAAAGCGACACAAAAATGGTAAGAGCACTCTCGATCCTCCTGACATGAACACAAGAATACATTATGTTAGGTTAGGTTTATCCTGTATCTCGTCTGTAATTCCATGTAGCTTTGTGTTCAATAATTTTGGTCAATTTTACATATCGGTCTATTATCGATTGCTCATCTATTGCCGACTGCTCACGCTAAAAGAGTAAATGCGATAGGGACTGAATATGATAGACATGTTCCAATTTAAGAAAATGGATTTACCGCATGGAAACCTATAAAGTGCATATACATAGTTCTTTATGGTGGAAGTATCTTCATGCAGAACAGGCTAATTGTAGTCACAATTACATAATAATACATTATTGTATTGTTAATCTTATAGTTATATAACGTATCATTAATTTCATCGTTCGATGAAAATAACAAGTTTCATTGAAAAAAATAACTGTTAAGTAATTATTGAAAAATGATACGTTTTGTAAATTAAAAAATACAAAAAATGGAAAATAAAATATAAAATACTACAGGCTACTTCTTTTTAATTTTTTCCTTAACACGTTGATTGATAAACAAGAATGAATTAAAATAAACTTAGCTTCTAAAATTATCATTGAGGATACAGTTAAAATTCTGCCCATTAGAATGGAAGGGAAAAAGGAAGCAAAAAGATGCATATTTGCAATGTAAAATATATTTCATCTAGTGTCTGAACAAAATCTGACGCATGTAGTAGCGACAGTGAAACAACACTGTACAATCGCATCTATGTTCAATTAGTAACATCACTACTTATTCGTGATTCCTACCAAATCGCATATGACCATAATCGTCGAAGTGTTCCCGTTTCCCGAATCTCATGTGGCCATAATCGTCGAATTGTTGTCGCTTATTTATGTCTAAAAAATCGTCGTCTTCGCCAAGGAGATTTTCTACGGTATACCTGTGCAGAAAAATTATAGTAGTTAATAATGACGTTAACTACAAATGATTATACATTTCAAAATGGTACAGTAAGATAAAAAGGTGATAAAAAGGTGGTGCTGTGTAGAAGATAGAAATAATATTCCTGATGGTAATTACCCTCGCAGTAGGGGACGGCTGCGGAATCTCCGGTGTACATTACGAACGAGTTCTGAAGTTGTTTCACAATTTCCACAGAACAACCAGATAGCTGCCATCATGCACGTTAGAGCGAAAGATAAATTCATATCTAAGAAAATAATTGTCATTCGGTTAATTGATATTCGCTTAATTAGACTATTTCAATAAATTCACAGAGAATCGTTAGAATAAAGGGGAAGTACAGGTCTATGTACAGTGCGCGTACGAAATGGTGATACGACCAGTAAGATGGTCTTTCCTCGTGGAAAAATAAAACGAAAGTAGGAAAGAAAATTTTTTTTGCAATTCTTGAAAATTCGTCGAGTAGGTAGTACTTACGTGTGGTATTAGCAAGGATTCGGTTTGTTAAAGGACACTGTAACATTTGCATCGTTTCTACGATTTTTACAAGTGATTGAATTTAAAAAGAAAAAATGCAAAAAAGAATTTTGTCAATTTTGTCATTTTACGAAAGCTTGCCAGCATTCGTTATTCCTATCTCTTTAATAAAATTTGTAATTAATGTTTTTTACTAATTAATTAAGATCTCCAATGCAATTATGACAAGATTGTACAGATATTATGCACAAACATAATGGTCGTTTTAGTTTTTTAACTAAATGTACGCGTACTTGAAAAATTTTCAAAGATTAGCCTTGGTCTCTCCGCACTTTTCGTATTATTTTTGCAAGGGGAATCACCTCCCTCACATGTACCACCATTACGACGCGCTTTGCACAGAACAATTTCGATGAAATAAAGAAATAGATCGAAGAATTAACATTTTGGGATGTTATTAGGAAAAAGAAAAATGGACGTAGACGACGAGTTCACTTTGCTGTTCACCTATGTGATAGAGGATCGGAAATCGGCGGAAGAATGCACGATCCACAGTTTTCACATGGCTTTTTATACAAGAACTTCATCATCCCGGGAATCCCGGGAGAGCGTTGAGCTCTTTGAATTTTAATTCACGTAGCTGTGCTCTGATAAACAATTTTCCTGGCCCTGTAAAGCGCCTATCTGAAATGCTCAATATTCTACGATGGTGTCTGTGATGATTGGCAGTTCGAATAACTATATTACCGCTTTAACTTGGCTCTCCTCCTCTCTATAAGACAGCGGAGGCCGCTTTATTGATACACGGACCGCCTTAGTGCGAGAAACTCAATGCTGTTGTAAATTGCTTTTATCGGGTTTAATGAGCTATCGTAAAGTATTTTCCATTCTACTAGAATTTCCATCATTCAAATTTTATCCTCGATGGAACGGCAACGAGGACACGAGAGTACAATTGCTTTTTAGAAATTTATATATAATAGTATAATTCTAGCAATCATGTTAAGTAACAAAAAAATTGTATTATCAATGACAATAGTAATTATATTGTAACTATAATTATAAAATCATGCATGGATTTATTAACGTGCATTATGTATCAATGCATATTGTGATTAAATGAAATTCATTGGTCCTTAGTGTAAATGTATAAAAACAATAAAATATTCAATTTAAAAAAATTAAGTTAACCTTCAAATATCCAAACTGCCTTAACCTATAAAGAAAATACATATGTACATATTTACTTAGGTTATGTAATGCCACTCTTGAAATCATATAAATTTTGGAATTAGGGGATTCACCCTGTATATTGCAAAAATTCAATTCAATTGTATATAGTGTTAAAAATTTTTAATTCTATTGTAATGGTAAAAATCGACAGCGAATAATCAGTTTAATTTAAAACAATTGTTACATAAACGCTTATATACATTATAGTAAAAACATGTATTACGAAATGTATTCTTATATTAAGTATTTTCTACTGAAACTTGGTAACTCTTATGCAACGAGCAACGTTGCACTGGAAAGAAATTTAATTTACCGATGAATGATATAATATTTGACAAGCAGTTACGCTTTGAGGGATTTTCATTGCTAATTTACCAACGCCTAATATTTCAATCGAATCATACAATGAAGTTTCACAGGTACGTATATCTTTTCGCTTACTACGATGTTACCACTAACACAGGCGAAATTCCTCTGAAAGCCTCACAGCAACGAAACAGGAAACCAAATTTGACGTAAGTAGTGCGAAGTCACGGTCACGGATTATAAGAGTTCTCGAATGGCTTCGGTATTTGCAGTGCTTCCAAAGAACCCTATAAATCACAAGCGATATCTCTTTTAGAATTTAATTGTTTTCCATCTTCCCAGTTGAAATCGTCGTCTCTCGTGCGGTACATTGTTGCCATTGTTGAAGTCATTCATACGAACACCGTATGATTGCTGTTCAGTGAAGTTTATTAATTCTGTAGCAGTAATCATGACCGAGGATGTCAGTGTTATGTTTCAAAAAGGGCTATCCGAGTGGTGGAACGAGGAGACCGAATATATTTTCCAAAGGATCGAAAGATGGGCCGCATACGCGAGAGGTTATAATCGTCTAAGGTCCCAAAGGCTGTCCAGAGGGCGCATGACAATGCAGGGAGGACAGGAGCCTCGTTGGAACATTTGCTCGAACAAACTTATCGTCGATGATTCCTCCTGGAATCCGAGTTTTCACACCTTGAAGAAATCGCAACGAAAGCCTCAACAGGAGGAAATGAAGATCAATTGTTGCGGAACTTTCAACTACCAGTCGAACAGTAATTTGGACAGCACTTGTTTGGAGACGTACAGATACGATCACAGTATTTACTTCAAAACAATTGGCGACATTAAGAACGGCAAGAAGGAGGCTGCTGATGCTAGGAACGAACAAGATGACAGAATCTCTGTCAGTAGTGAAGAGGTTATGGAATGGGACGTCTCGATGTCGGTTAATTCAATGTCGGACTTCATTACCAATCAGCTTATGGAAGATAGATTTGTCAGTGATAATGTTAAAAATGTCTTTGATTGTACGGAAAATCCAGCTCAGAATATGAATTCTGTCACGTGGTTCAACGTGGATTTATATAAACTCGATTTAAACGAGGACGCCACCGTTGCGGATAGCGATGAGCAAAATAACGAAAATAATTTGACGATCACTGAGATCGTAGAGGAAAAGAATAATAATTACATAGAGAATAAAGAATCTGTTATGGACACGAATCTAAAGAATCAAACACAGGTGAACCATATGGTAGAAGGTCAAAATAGTACAGGAGAAACACAGCCCGAAAGAGGAATCGAGAGGTTTTTTAATATACGGAAAACTAGGAGAACAACCAAAACAGTTAAGCAGTCTCCAATTACAGGCGATAATGACGTTACATGGCCGAGTGTTTTATTGAATTATAGTAACAATAAGAACATCAATCCTTTTAATTCACCGCATCATTATGTAGGAAATGAATTAAAGTGAACATTTTTTTGATGTTAGTACCTAATAAATTGTAATATACATATAGGTACGTATTTAATCAGTACGTATGAGTATTGCTGCAATATACATATAGATACGTATTTAAATTATTTCTGTAATATCATCCAATTAAATATAATATTTTTGTATCAAATACGCGTTATTACTGATTTCATTAACCGTATCCCCCGTAATTATATATCATAAAAAAAAAATTAAATTTAGTCTATTAAAAACTGTCTGTGCATTGTCTGTATCTCACGCCAATGATGCAATATAACCGAAGTAAACATACAACATGTACAATACACACAAATTACTGAAAAACAATTACTGTACTGATACACATGTTATAGTTGCAGTCGTGGTAACCGATTTTTTTCAAACTCGCAGGATTTGTTGATATCCTTGAGAAACGGAACTGTGTAAAATTTTAGCTTTCTATCTCGAACAGTTTTCAAAATATTTAATGTTGAAATTTCGAAAAATTAGACGAAATCAACCGATATACATATCATCACTTTAACCGTAATATTTCGGCTTTGTTTAAAGGTAATGCTTCGATCTTGGGCTCATTTTAAAGCTAAAGAAATACTTTTTTTCGAATATGTATATAAAATTTTATTTACTATTAGGAAACAACAATAATCGTTGATAAAGTTTCAACTGCTAATTTGACACTGTTCACAGCCATAGAATAATTTGAAAAAATACCATTGGATTTCTTGAACTTTAACCTGTAAAATGAGCTTCTTACAATAATGAAAATATTTCAGGAACATTGAAACAAAAATAAAGTTTGCCATGATACACGTCACTTGGCGCCGCGCAGACACCATGAACAGATGCTGCGCATGCACACCCCATGCAATGGATCTTCCAAACGGGTGAATTCCCGAAGCTAAGATTTTATATTTTAAGTCCCTAGGGCCTATATTTGGATGGGTCACTAGGGCCATTCGGAACAATATCCTAAATTTTAATTATAAAATAATGTATAAAGAGTAGAAGAGGTTAAAGACGTAAATTTTGTACTGCGTCATTAGGACGTACCGATTCGTACATATGTCTTCAAGACGTTCAGACCAAAAATGAACGTAAAATGGACATCTTTAAAACGTCGTGTACTATCTGGGAACCTATTTAATTTTGCTTTATGGCATTTTTGCTATCTTTAACCAATTTTAAGATATTAACACCCTGTATACTAATGAGTATGAATTATTCTTATACTTTAAAAATTATTTTCTTTGTATTAAAAATTCAATTCGAACATATAGCAATGTAATCATAAATTACTATTACAAAACGGATATTAAATGACTATTCCTGGTTACTAATTTAAATGTATCTTTACAATAAACGCGGAAACCACATTTTTTTTTATCAACATAATCTATTAATAGGACGAACAAGTCCTATAGTGCGCATGTACCAACTGGTGGAGCAGGCTCCGCACGCAAACACGTAAGCTCGTGCAATCTCGCTGTAAATCGATCAGCTTCTCTCACTCATCTGAAGAGAGTAGGTAGTCTATACTACTTTCCAAAAATTTCATCGGCGTATTCAACGCTGACATTGGAAAAAAGTAACGAATTAAATCAACTGCTTAATGACGAAACGTTTGGAAACGGTGGCTATGATGGCCTGCCTGAAGACCCTCTTGATGCTCTTCAATTGTATCTTCTGGGTAAGCAAAATATGATTCTCTTGGTGTAATTCACCCTCGCCACATCGATTTGAGGAATTGTATGTATATTTTAGAATGTGAATACCGTCCACCCAACTGTTGCACAATACGTTATAGCATTGCTGTCATCATACTGTTCTAATTCTTTTATTCCATAAATTTATGTTGTTCTTAATTATTATCAAAAATTATCTGTGGTTGTATGTTTTCGAAAATGATGCAACATTTTTAAAATTTTTAAGTTCGTTAAAATACGTTATCATATGGTAGAAAAGTTTGTTTAAATAGTGGTATTAAGTGAATTAGGGTGCTCTTCAATAACTGGTAATTGTTTATTAGAAATTAAAATTAACGAAGTCGTTCAATATAACAATTTTAGTAGCCTAAAAGCAAATAAATTGTGTTTTTGATCCTTTTTAATAAGATTTATAGTGAATCTGTATAGAATATTCATTGTCATAACAACAGAATAAGATTTTGTTAAGAATCAGAATGTTTTGATGTTGCTTATTTGAATTTTTATTTATCACGTTTCAAAATCAAAAAATGTTATATATTTCTAAGTTCCTATTACATATGCTGCTAATGAAGACCAATTTCTTGTTAATGAAGACAAATTATTTCATGTATATGAAACTTTTATAACACATTTTTAATGTAATTATGTATTTACAAATGAGTTAATAAGAGATGGAAAAAATGAACAAAACATAGTTATTTGTTGCTGGTACATACAACTCTAGTGAACAGTGCATGTAAACATTAATTAATTTCAGTCCTACAACGTAAAAATATATCAAGAAAAATACATGTATAAGTATAGGTTTTCATCATATTATGAGAGAATACTTAACTGAATAATTTCTTTTTTTATTTCATTACTATTATACTAACATTGATATACTTATTGAAAGGTTTACGTAAAATACACTGGTATAAAATTGAAAAGATTTATATATTTTTATGTCAATAATGTGCATTGAATTAAAATAGCCAGGTGTGACAATAACTTCATAAATTCATATACCATTGTTATAACATACAACCCTTAAAACATTGCTATTTAACAACTTGTACAATAATATTTCTAAGTAATTTAGAACTGCAGGGTTATAAAATGTATCCTCATAATGGTATCCTATTATACCATTGTTTTTTATTCATCAATCTAATTTTTAATGTGCTTAATAAATATTTAATACATGATGTTAGGCATTTATGTTAGCTACATCTTTAATTGTGAATAATATTAAACATTTTTTTAAACCACATCATTTAAGTGATATTTCTTCTATTATAAATGTAATATGTACAAATTGATTTAGTATTACATTTGAGAATATTCATTTTGCTTTACATATACTAATAGCAACACTAAGTTATAAAACTAGCAACAACTTCATTATGATTTTGTAATTGTGAGTTATCCTCTCTTGTTGCAAAGAAATTTTAATGCTTTATGCCAAATGATTTTATTTCTTCAGTATGAAAATTTTATACACAATATTATTGTTATACAATATTTTTTTTTTTCAAT